CCCCTGTCCAAACACGCAATTTAGACAATGATTAATTGTTTAGATGTATCCGAGGAAAATGAGGAGTTGGGGGGGGGGGGTTGGTGGCGGGGGCGGGGGAATGGAGAGCGAGAGGGGAGATTGAAAGGCGTCAGGATGTTGTGGCTGCTTCATGATCCCACCAGGAAATGACTCCACGACTCCCACAAACTCGCCTCCTCCTCCTCGTCCTCGAGTGTCGGTTTTGCTGGGACGGATTCCGCCGTGGAGCAGTGGTTACCGTTTTGGACTTGGGTCCCTGTGTGAGTCTGTGGGTCTCTATGTGAGTCCGTGGGTCTATTTGTTGAGTTTGTGGGTCTCTGTGTGAGTATGTGGGTCTCTGTATGAGTCTGTGGGTCTATTTGTTGAGTTTGTGGGTCTCTGTGTGAGCATGTGGGTCTCTGTATGAGTCTGTGGGTCTCTGTGTGAGTATGTGGGTCTCTGTATGAGTCTGTGGGTCTCTATGTGAGCCAGTGGGTCTCTTTGTAACACTGTGGGTCTCTATGTGAGTCTTTAGGTCTCTATGTGAGTCTGCGGGTCTCTGTGTAAGGCTATCGGTCTCTATGTGAGGCTATGAATATCCATGTGAGTCTATGGGGCTATATGTGAGTCTGTGGGTCTCTATGTGAGTCTGTGGGTCTCTATGTGAGTCTGAGGGTCTCTGTGTAAGGCTATGGGTCTCTATGTGAGGCTATGGATATCTATGTGAGTCTATGGGTCTCTATGTGAGTCTGTTCGTTTCTATATGAGACTGTGTCTTTACGTGAGGCTGTGGGTCTCGATGTGAGTCTGTGAATCTGTATGTGAGCCCACTATATGAGACCCAATGCGAGTCTATGGAATACTGTGGTGGAGTAACGGCTACCAACTCTGGCTCATGGCGCAGTGAATGTTCATCAAACTCGAAACGAGTGTCTGGTACTCTGCGCTGGGTGAGTCACGGGACGCGATCTGCCCTTGTCCATCGTCTCCTCTTGCTCGGGCTCTCACTGCCATGTACATTTTGTCGCGACATCTTTTTGAACTCGGCGGTAGGAATGTGTCAGCGCGCCTGTGCCTTCAGCGTGGAGGCGGTGGTGGTGGTGGTGGTGGTGAGGGTGTAAACATTGGCACTGGGGAGACTAAGCAGATCGGGCGTGGTGGGCACCCACTCACCAGCCTCGAGTGCCGCGCCGGCCTTGTCATTGGTGCTCGCTCACAGCACTTGCCCCAAAAGTCTGTTGAGGCTATATGGGCCAGGGGGAGGGGGCTCTGTCTTTGTCGTGGGGCAGTTGTTAACACACCGCGCCACAAACCCGCCCGACCAGAGTTCCATTCCCGTCTCACGACCAATAACAGCGGCGAGTATAATTTGAACGAGATTCTGAGCCTCCCCTAGGTCGACTGGGCCTTGAATGAGTACCTTGACGTGGTGTGTATAAAACGTCAGCACTGGGGAGACAAAGGCGACCGGGCGTGGTGTTGGCCACACCACCCGCCCTCGCGTGCCGTTGCGGCTCAGCCATTAGTGCCCGCTGACAGCACTTGCCCTCCCCCCCAACAGTCTTGTTAGAGGCTACACGGGGTAGCTTTGCTTGTTGTTTGTCACGCGCGGCCGTCGACTTCCGTGGGGCACTCGAGTTGCGTCTGCGCCTCTCGCTGCCGAATCGCATCGCCCCCCAATCCCTGCCTTGCCCCCCCCAATCCTACCCTGGGCTCGCCCCCAAATCCCTGCCCTGGGCCCCCCCCCAATCCTACCCTGGGCTTGCCCCCCAATCTCTGCCCTGGGAGTCGCCCCCCAATCCCTGCCCTGGGCTTGCCCCCCAATCTCTGCACTGCCCCCCCCAATCACTGCACTGGGATCGCCCCCCAATCCCTGCCCTGCCCCCCCCCCCAATCCCTGCACTGGGATCGCCCCCCAATCTCTCTCTCCGTGGGCCACCTGGCAGATGATGAAGAGCACACTTTGCAATATAATTATTTTGTTAAACTTAACGTTTTATAGATTATACCCAAACATTCCCTCTTGCCATAACGGGGAGGGATGGTTGGCTTGAAGGGGGGGGGTGGGGGGGAGGGAGGGCGGGGGGGGGGCTTTGTGTTGAATCCCAGAGCCCCTGTCGAGTTAGTACCCCCACCACCCTCCCTCCATCCACCGCCGTATAGGAGGGGAGGAAGTTGTGTGCGCAATGCAGTGAACATGGGCGCTTGTTTTTCCTATCGGGCGAGGCTGGGTCGTTTGTTTTGGGGGGGCGGGGGGGGGGGGGTTCTGGCCTAAGAAGCCAAAGCCGCGGCTCGTGTCATCGCTCTGCAAGGTGGCGCCTGACCCGGGCGCTCGGTGTGCGTGGCTGGAGGGGTTTTTATTTGACTCGACGGGGACGGAGGCTGACGCTGTGACCCCCGACCCGCACAGCGATTTGAGGGCTGCTGCTTCTGCTGCTTGCGGCTTGCGGCTGTGGCTGCGTTGGCAATGGTGCAGTGGGACACTGAGGATGCCTTCGTCGTCCAATGGTGATGATCTTGACTTGAAGCTTTCGTGACTGCAGGAATTCATATTCTTTGGGTCTTTCGGTAAAGTTACGTAGATAGGTAAAAAAAAAGAACAAAAAACTACGACGTTTCGATCGCAACACAAACGGTCGTCATCTCCACCTGATGATGATAGCTTGTGTTGCGATCGAAACGTCGTAGTTTTTAGACAGTTTTTTGAACCTATCTACGTGACTTCACCGAAAGACCCGAAGAATAGGAAAATGCTGATGATGTTGGTGGTGATGGTGGTAGCGGTTATAAGACAGTGGGGAGCGGTAGTGTAACGAGCGGTCCGCGCGCTGCGCTACGAACCCGGCGACCCGAGTTCGATTCTCGATCACGGCCAAATATCGGTGACGATTATCTGAACCGCTCATGGGCCTCCCCTAGGTCGACTCAGCAGTGTGTAAACATCGCCACGAGGGATTAAAATATCAAAAAGCGGACGGGTTTGGTGCTGGCCATCGACCACCTCGTGTGCCGTGCCGGCCCTCATAGGTGCGACTCGCTAACAACACTTGCCCCAACAGTTTGTTAAGGCTATACGGGGGATCTTTGTCTTTGGTGGTTAAATGAGATGCAATGCGCAGTTGGTTAAGGGACACCTGCAAAGTCCGGTTCGCGGGCCGTTTCGAAAACTCGGCTACAAAGCCGTGGGCCGCTGCTATTGTTACTCGTAATGAGATAAACAGGGGGGGGGGGGCGACTGGGGGGGGGGGGTGGAGGGGGGGGCTCTGGATGGACGCCAGTTTCCGCTCCGGGGTCTTTGCGCCCACAAAGCGCACGCAGTCATAATTCTTCTTGCGTGTAATTTAGGAAAAGAAAGCGATCCGGGGGGAGCGGAGTAAGGGGTGGGTGGGTGGGTGGCTGTAAGGGTGTAGGAGGGATGTGGGGAGGAGGAGGATGATGAAAAGAGGGGGGGGGGTGGGCGGGGTGTACCGGGGGCGTCGCAGTAGGAGGGTTTGGGTGGAGGGCATTCAGTCACCCCCAGTGAGTCTGGGTCCGTAACGTAAACAAAGTGTGGAAGCTGCGTGTTTGCGTGAGAAGCCGCTATTGAAGAATCAGGAAAATTTCGGAAAAAGAAAACAGGAGCAGTGGGGGGTGGGGAGGGGGGTGGTGGATGAGGGAGAGCGGAGTGAAAGGAGCCAAGCCAAGTTCACGGGGTCATGGTTGGGGACAAAGTTCACGGCCTGCGCCCTGGCTGCCTCTCGCACGCACGCACGCGCACGGCCAGGTCGCTCGCACGCCACTCGCGCTCGCACGCTCTCGGCCCCCCTCTCTCTCTCTCTCTGCCCCTCTCTCTCTCACGTACACCCCCACGTTCTCGCGCACACTCGCACGCGATTCGCGCACGCTCACGCACACCAACGCAGACTCGCACGTACGCACGCTCGCACACTCACATACACACACTCTCACGCCCACACGCACACGTTCACGCACAGCAACGCACACTCCCACGCACACTCCCACACACACCCACGCACACACACTCATGCACCCACGCACACCAACGCACACTCCCACGCACGCTCACGCACACCAACGCAGACTCGCACGTACGCACGCTCGCACACTCACACACACACACACACTCTCACGCTCCCACGCACACGTTCACGCACAGCAACGCACACTCCCACGCACACTCCCACACACACCCACGCACATACACTCATGCACCCCCGCACACCAACGCACACTCCCACGCACGCTCACGCACACCAACGCAGACTCGCACATACGCACGCTCGCACACTCACACACACACACTCTCACGCTCCCACGCACACGTTCACGCACACTCCCACACACACCCACGCACACACACTCATGCACCCACGCAAACCAACGCACACGCACACCCATACACCCTCCCACGCACACTCACGCACACCAACGCACACCTTTGCACGCAATTCACACGAGTGAAATATGTCAAATAATAACATCGATACCGTACACGATATGGCCCTCCGTCTAATCAGGGCAATTCTCGCCGAGTCTCAAGGCGCGTTTTCGGGAGGGTCCTGCTACATTGGGATGTTTGGCCAATTCTTTTGAAATGACCGTTTTCGTTTCACGCGGGCAGGGAAACCTGGGGGACCCCGAAGAAACGCCACGACGTCAAACCGAGCGAGATAACCGCTCAAAGCTCCACCATAGCTGGATCCGAGATACAATTTTGCTCTACTCCCATCGCGGGGCCACCTCGCAGCCTCGCGGGTTCGGGAGTTTTACAAATCCGCGTGTGATCTACTAACCCCCCCCCCCCTTTACCTCCGACGCGTCGCATCGCAGATTCGCGCCGATTGCGCGTTGCTCGCGTTTCGAGGGGGACCAAAACCCCCCCGCGGATCTTTACCCAAAGTCCACCGTCTGTCGATTTCATCCACGATTAGTGAATTTCATGACGGGGGCAATCTTTGCCCCCCTTAGTGGCGCGTGCGTGACGAGCCCGTGGCGGTTACCTTTGGGCCGCAGAGGCGAGCGATGGAGGCGGACAGGAAGGGCCCTCTCGCTCTCTCGCTCGCTCTCGCTCTCTCTCTCTCCATCCCTGTGCCTCGCTCCGCACGCAACGTACGTGGCGTTCTTATCGGTGTCGCCATGTGCCGAGCTGATAAGAGCCCCGCTGAGATTTAACCCCCCCCCCCCCCCCCCAAAAAAAATGGCAGTCGTTTGTTTATTTATTTAGGTGCTTATTTATTTATTCATTCATCTGCCAAAAAAGCCTCGCCGAGTCTCAGGAGTTAAGATTGCTCTTTTGTCAGGAGGGTGGGTGGGGGGGGGGGTCCGGTCTTCTCTACGTTGGGAATCTTCTTGGTTCTTTCGGTGAAGTCACGTAGAATGGAAATAATAAAATAATAAAAATAAAACATAATGAAACATAATAAAATAATATAAGATATTATAAAAAATATTTAATTATGTTGTATTTTTATTATTTAATTATTTCCATTCTACGTGACTTTACCGAAAGAACCAAGAAGATGAATCCCTACTTTGGGAATGTTGGGCTCAATTACTTTCTCCTAAACTCCGTTGACGACCAGGAGCCGAAACCCCCCCCCCCCCGACTCTCCGGGAGTGATGCGGTAACGGTGGCAATGTGGACCCCCCCCCCTCCCCCACCGTCTATACAGGCCGATAACCACCTCGACATATATGTAGAGGACCGCAGAGCTTGGGCAGTTTGTTGGCAGCGCCGGCTGCTCACCGTGCGGCTGCTGCAGCCCTTCCCGCTCGTCCGTGGTTCCTCCTCGCGCCTCTGTACGACGCTGAGCGAATACGGTGGGAATACTCGGCAACGATGTCCGACGTTTCGCGCTCAACGTGGCGGGAGCTCGTTCAGCAAAGCCGCACCGAACCTCTCGAAGGGCCCTCTCGCTCTCTCTCTACACCGTTGTCTTTAAAAATATCTTACAACTCCTCTTTACATCAAGGCCGTAGCCATGGAGTCAACATTGGGGGGGACCAGATCTACCAGGGGGTCTGGGGGTCCCAACCCAGAAAAATATCTAAATTTGAAAACGAATTTCCTTCCATTTTCTGCTTAAAATATAAAAAAAATTCACTAACACATGGAATGGACTTTTTATAAATTTTCTACAATAAGGTCTAATAGTGTATTGTATTACATTCCTCTGTTTTTACTTTTTTTACCATTTCTTGTTTCATTGTATGAAATGTTTGAGATTAGGGATTAATAAAGTACAACCATGACCACAATCATATTAACAGAAATCTATGCATTGATTTATACGAAGACAAGTCCAGATATTGTGGCCAAGGTTGAGCAAATTGTTCCTTTTATTTACATAGCATAGCAATTATTATTACATTTTTTTATATTTTAAGCAAATTTTTATATTATATTATAATTACGGCCTTGCTTTACATGTGCCCACGGCCTTGCCCCACCTGATATCTCGCCTCTCTCATCTCCGTTTTCGTCTCCCCTCGTGCTCTCCGGTCACCATCTTCTCTCTGTCTCTCCCTGCCCCCCCCCCCTCTCCCTGTGACGCTCTCCTTTCTTGAACCCCTCCACTGGAATCAACTTCCCCTGTCAACTAAGCAGCCCCCACCCTCCCCTCCTCCTAAACCTCATTCTGTTCATCTCTTAAAGCCTCACCGACTCGTCTCTGTCGCCCATTCCCTTCCTCTTCCCTCCCCTCGCCCCTCCACTCCGTCCCGTCCCTCCCCCATCACCCTTTCGTGACCACCACCCCCCACACCCGCACGTGCCCTCTGTAACGGGGGTCACTCATTCCGCGGCCCTGATACTGCCCCTGCCATCTAAATCACTCACCGCTGTCGTTACCGAGTGTTTATTTATTTAATTTTATTTAAACGACGTCAAGCGCCTTGGTGCTCAGGCTCCCCGTAAACACGCGATGTGAGTTAATGAGTTAATGATGACGTCACCCTGCTGCTGCTCTATATAAGAACGGGAGACACAGCAGAGCCTCACCATTCTGGCGAATTGCCCGATGATGCTGGATGCCATTACCAGCGAAACGTCGTACTCAAATTGTAAATTGTTGTGGTTTCACGCTTCAACACACCGGTGGGCTAAAGCAGTGAACTATTTGTCTTTTGTCAACGTGACACTTTTTTACTGATTGGCCGTGTCGGGTGGTGGAGGGTTACGACACATTTATAAATAACGCGATCTAAACCCAAAAACGTTGATTATGAATGCGACGTGAAACAAGACGCGGCGGTGCAGCGACGTGCCCACGGAGGACGCGCGCTCGACGAAGCGGAGAGTTCGTCATGCAGAGCAGACGAGCTCCGATGTCAGCTCGGAGTTCTTCCCTCGCAGCAGCGGGGTCTCAAGACGAGCGGTAGAAACGAGGGGGGGGGAGATATTCATCGCCAGCCGTCCTCGCCTCGGCTGTCTCGTATCGCATTACCCAGCCCCCCCGCCCCCCCCCCCCCCCCCCCCGGGACACAGCCCTCGAGAGGGATAATCCCGTGGAGCGAACGGCACCACGAATGTTATCTCTAGCGGAAATGTGATGAAGAGGTCTTATGGGGGATCATATGGGGATCTTGCGGGGATAAACCTCGGCTTTTGCGTGTGGTCTAACAGTCCCGGTGTACGTTACATGAACGTTAATAATGTCAATTATATTCATAACGACGGACGGATATTTTTTTCTTCCACTATCCACTGCCTCCCCCAAAGCAATGTCTTGTCGGGGTCGCTTGACCATACTTCGCCAAGCTGGTGAACGTGGGTTCGTCGGGGGATAAAGGGCGTTGGCCACAGGACCCTGCTGAGATCATCGCCTCGCCGCTCATGTGAGACATGGCCGGGAATCGAACTCAGGTAGGGTGGGGTGGCAGGTTTGGGAATAACGCAGAAAGCGAGCGAACCACAAACACAAACATGTGCTTTACACGGTGATACAAAAACACGTGAGTAGACATAACGTAAAGACAAATACCCCCCCCCCCCCGTGTAGCCTTAACAGACTGTTGGGGCAAGTGCTGTTCGTGAGCACCCATGAAGGCCGGCACAGCACACGAGGGGTGATGTGGCCAACACCACGCCCGGTCGCCTTTGTCTCCCCAGTGCTGGCCTTTCATACACACCACATTACGGTCCGGTTCAATTATTCGCCGCTGTTATTGGTCGTGAGTGGGAACCGAACTCGGGGTCGCCGGGGTTCGTAGCGCAGTCCGCTAACCGCTGCGCCACCGCTCGCCACCACCACGACGACAAACACGCACTCGCGAATAGAAACGCTGAAGTCATCCCTTGAGCGCCACTGTAAACAAACACGAGGGGCATTGTTTTACATCAGCGGGCGCCTCCGTTGCGTGACTCTCTCCGTGGCCGCAGCTCAAGAGCGTTCGTGACACGCGGCACAAATGCTCAGGTCGGCGAGAGGGATATGCGTGTGTGTGTGCGTGTGCCGGTGTAAGTGTGCATGTGTGTGTGTGCGTGTTTGAGTGTGCCGGTAGTGAGTGTGCGTGTGTGCGTGTTTGAGTGTGCCGGTGTGAGTGTGCGCGCGTGTGTGTGCGTCTGTGTGTGTACACGCGTGTGGTTGTGTGCGCGTGTGTGTGCGTGTGTGTGTCTGTGCGTGTGTGCGTGTGCGTGTGTGCACGTGTGTGTGCGCGCGTGTGTGTGCGCGTGTGTGTGTGCGTGTGTGTGTGCGTGTGTGTGCGTGTATGCGTGTGTGTGTGTGCGTGTGTGTGCGTGTGTGCATGTGTGTGTGTGTGCGTGTGTGTGTGTGCATGTGTGTGTGCGTGCGTGTGTGTGCGTGCGTGTGTGCGTGCGTGTATGCATGTGTGTGTGTGTGCGTGTGTGTGTGCGTGTGTGTGTGTGCGCGTGTGTGTGTGCGTGTGCGCGCGTGCGCACAGTGTCCTTGCGCTTGTGCGGAGCGGGGTAGTGTAGTGGTTAGCACGCTGCGCTGCGAAACCCGGAGAAGAGCCGTGATCGATATTCAGTGACGAATATCTGAATCGGTCCTGGGTCGACTCAGCCTTAAAAACGGGTGACTCGGTGCGACGTTTAAAACATCAGCACCGGGGAGACAAAGTCGATCGGGCGTTGTGGTGTTGACCACACGCCCTCCGCGTGTGCTGTACAGGTCTTAATAGGTGCTCGCTAACAACACTTGCCCCAACACTTGTAAATGCTATAGGCGGCATACGTGTCTTTGTGCTTAATTTAACTTTCCGCAACAATCTGTGTGAGCTCCGCGGGGTATCTCCGTCTGTGTGTGTGTGTACATAGAGACACGCTGTCTCTCTCTCTTTCTGGAGTGAGTGATAAGACGGCGTCGTTACGGATTGTAGCCAGGGTTATCTCCGTGCACTTTAGTCTACAGTTCACTCGCACACGAAGCAAAGACAACGGAAACGTAACAAACCATCCTAGTGTAAAGTAAAAAAAAAACTTTTACAAACAACTATAAACTATATATTTTTATTCTAACGGGTAAGGCCCACTGAACCTGTACAACTCTTTTCAGAAGCGTCCTGGCCCACAAATTTTAGCTCCGCGAGGTGGTTGTTTATCGCATGGAAACGGAGTGCAGTCAAACACTCTGAACGCACACGCTGCTTCTAAACTTGGAGGGAAACACCGGAGGACCCGGAGACAAATCGACACGACCACGAGAGAGACTTCTTTGACTTTTAAACAACTTTTATTGCCGCCAGCAGCAACAGCACTGGAGGCGATTTCGATATGAAATACACAGTCACCAGCAAACAAATGATATTAAACGCTACAAATCCACGAGAGAGAGAGACGCAAACTCCAAATATACAGCAGGCGTCAGGGTCGGGATCGAACTCCACGACCTCCTGTAGACCAGGCGAGGTAGTTCACATCTAGCCACCGTGATGATGATGATGAGAGAGACACGCAAAATCCAAATATACAGCAGGCGCCAGGGTCGGGATCGAACTCCACGACCTCCTGTAGACCAGGCGAGGTAGTTCACATCAGGCCATCGTGGCGCCCAGTGTAGCAGGACCCTCCTGCGCAACGAGTCTTGAGGCTCACCCGAGTCTTTCCTGGATAAATGATTGTCACTGCTTATATTGTATTTTGATG